TGCAAGGGGGTGGCCCCGGGGCGCACGCCACTCCCAAGATCTGGTTAAAACCACGAAGGCCCGTGAGACATCCATCCACACATGCTTGTGGCCGTGTCCTTGACTTGTACTGCAAGGGGGTGGCCGTGGGGGCCGGTGCCCCGGCCATGGAAGGACCGCACAGACGGCCCAGGCCCAACTGCAGGCTCCGCCCAGGGCGGGGACACGGCCAGGGCACTCTTGTGCGTCCACTCCCTTCTCTTCAGCTTTGCAATGGTCACTGCATGGTGGAGACGCCCCAGGGTGGGGTCCCTGCCCACGACAATCCCCCCTACCCCTGGCCAGAATGTGGTGGCTGGTTGCGTGTGTATTGTTTTCTGCTATTGGCCCCAGGGGACTAGCTGAGGGCGGAGCAGCATTGGGGCCCTAAGCCTGGCGCGCGCCCACGGGAGTCATGTGTATGCCCCAGCTTTGTACAGGTGCAGGGAGGCTTCCTGGAGGGGCCCCAAGACACCTGCTGGAGGGAGATTCCAAGTGAGCATGCTCAGGGAGAACATCAGAAGCGGAGCAAAGGTCAAACCCTTCCCTTTCCCCAAAGACGGGAACAGGAGTCGGAGGGGGATGCCCTGGTCTGAGACAGTCTGGCCGCACAGCCTGAAGAAGGGGGGTCATGACAGCACCCTCCTCACACTCGCCACCTTCCCGCCCAGGAGGCGTGGGTTTAACACAGGCTGGAGTGAGCTTGCGAGTGTGAAAATGAATGTGCACTAGGGGTGGGGGGGTGCCTCGCTCCTTCCCTGCTTCTGGTCCCAGGGCAGCCCCGATGATTGTCTCAGAGGCATCTCCCTGACGTGAGAGGACCCAAGTGCAAGGACCCGGCGCGACCTTGACGTTCACATAAACTGGAGGGAGGGAGGGCCCGTGCTCTGCAGAGTGGGCTCCGTCGGCAGGCAGCACCATCACGAGCTCGCCCCGTGTCTGGTCATGCACGCCACCCCTGGCTCCCTGTCACTCAGGAGGACGGCAGAGGCCATGGGTTCTGTGACTGCGTGCGGCCCGGCTCTTTGCTCCGTGTCCCGGGTCGGAGGGAAGCCCCGTGTGACAGCCGGGCCCTACGCACCGCTGCCCCCGAAGCTGAGGGACCCGGGAGCTCACGCAGCGGGTGACCCCAGACTCCTGCTGGGTCCCGCTCAGCCTGACAAGGGGGCCAAGCCTCGTGGGGGCACTCTCCCCGGAGCAGCACCCCCTGGGCGCCACGGCCTGTCCCAGACGCTTGGAGCCGTGACTGAGGATGACGCCCGGGTGGGGCACTGCCCGGCGACCATTGCAAAGGTGAAGGGGCGGGAGGGTGCGGGCCGCCTGCACTGGGGGCCTTGGCACTTCTTGAGGTCACGGCCGGCATGAGCAGGGCAGGAGAAGGTGGGCGAGGAGTCCGGGAGGACAGAGGCGGACCACGAAACTCTGAGACAGTTCAGCACAAACCACGAGCGCTCCCCAGGGACGAAGGCGATTGTTTACAATCAGTGCTGGACCAGAACCCCAGGCAAGAAACCCGAACGCCTCCTAAAGATACAGCAAGTACATTCGAAACAGAACCGCAGAGTGCACCGTCACCAGCCGCGTTGGAGCACGTCGTTTTGAATCGGAAGGATTTAACAGTGAACACGAGAAAAAAGCTGTATATAAAATACTTTATTAGCAGTCTTCATTTCTCAAAAGTATCTAACTGTATAGTCATACACTCCGCAATCCCTCCCCCCACTTGGAGCGGTTTCGCTTTAGTTTTCGTCCCATTGCAGCTCAGCGGGCGTGCAGGGCACCTCGGTGGGCCTGGCTGTGCCCTTACCATCTGCACGGCGGGCATGAAGTGGGGGGGTTTTCCCTCCCTTTTTTTCAGAGTGCCGGATGGCCGAGGACTCTCAGACGAAGGGATATGCTATCACACACAACCTAGCACAAGCCTGCACGTGTGCACATGTGTGTACACACACACACACACACACACTCCAGCTGTCCGCCCACGCTCGTCTGCAGGTGGCACCCCTTGGCAAGGCACCTGAAGGGGAGAGGCGTGCCCCCCCCCCCCATCTCAGCTACCTGGTGGGAGCTAGAATTCCGAGGTGAATGGCCACTAAGCTAGCATTGCATTTTATACAAAGTGCTGTCACATATGCTTGTACTCTGTGCGCAGGGGGCAATGTGGCAAAGCAAAAAAAAAAAAGAGAGAGAGAGAGAGAGAGACACCTTGGGGTCAGACTGGGGATCGAATTCCAAATCCGTTCTTTCCTGGCCCTGGGACCAGGGACCTTGCTGCCCCTCTGCCAGCCCCGGTGTCCTGCGTCTCCTGAATGAGAAGAGTGACACGGTCATGGGTCCCTTCCCACCTCTCTGCCCTGGGGGGCTGGCCCACGTCGTCTGAGCTCCCTCCCCGAGCCCAGCACCTGGGCAAGCACCGAGCTCGGGGACGGCCAGTCCGCATTGGCCGAGTAGACAAACAAGAGGAACTCATAAGGCACCAGCGTGGTACCCGGAACACGTCGCCAAGAAAGATGCTGAATCCACGGGAGCTCAAGTTTTCCTCGGGGACACGACCAAAGTGACTTTGACCTTGTGGACGTCGCCAGTCCCTGTTTGCCCGGCCCTGCCTTGCTCGGGGTGGGAAGCCGACCTTTCTGGGGAGCAGTTTCTACCTAAAAGCCGGTCAGTCCGCATCATTTCCGGGTCCTGAAGGCCCTCCCCCAAGGCGACATAATCTGACTCCAGCATCTTCTGGGGCAAGCTTCCCGCTCCACCCGCAGCAACTTTGGGAGAATTTCACGCTCTAGCCGATGTTCAGCAAGCATAACAGAGGGGGCAGGCGTGCTCTCCGTGGGGACAGAGGCGAGGGGCCCCCCTGACGCTGTCCTGGGGCCAGGACAGTGGCTAGAATCCCAAGGGCCCCTTTCTCTCCTGACAAGTCTCATTTGACAGCAAAAATCTCCAAGCTCCCACCTCTGCTCTGCCCCCCTCTGGGGGAGCCGCTCATCGTATACCTGGGGGGTTCCTCCTTCTCTGAATCGAGACCCAGTCAGCGGTGCAAGGAGTGTTTGCACCCCCGCATGCAGAAACCACGGAGAAGCCTTGGGTCTGGGAAGCTGGCCGGCCCATCCCTGCCTGCCTCCTCACCGCAGCCGTTTAGAAAAATCCATCAGCAGGTGGCTTGGAGGCTACCTGAGGCCACTGGAATCAGGTGTGTTCTCAAACTAGCCTGAAACAAAAGCAGAGGGCAAGTACCTGGAGATCTGAACAGAACGGCTGCATGGCAGTAAAAGCTGGTAGGGGTTTCCAATGAGAACGTACAAGTGGGGGGCACCCGCTGACAGTTACGTTGGGGTGAAGGCAGCATCCCGGCGGTGACGCTTCTTCAGTCAACTCGGCTGTCGGTCTTCCCAGGCAAACTGTCCCGGGGTGCTGGCTTAGTGCACTTGCTACACCCCACTTAGCATCCTTTAAAGGTAGCCCTGGGTTACTCTGCACGCGGGTTTCCCTTCTAGCAGACCGACAGCCGTCCCGTCCCCAAAGATCTGCCCCTGGGTAGGGGCAGCCTCCATCGGGGCCTCGTCTGGGAAGGGACGACTGTCCTCTGCCAACAGTGAGAAGCCGAGATTCAGGAAGCATGAGCCCCTATGGAAAACACCCTTCTGTGGGCTCAGGAGTGGAGATTTTACAGCTGAAGGAATCTCGCGGTTTCCTTCTGAAGTTGCCGAGACACAACGCCGAGGGCTCGGGGAATGGGATGCAGCCGCCCTGCCTCGGAGACAGCCGACCCCACTCGGGCAGTGCCTGGCACTGTGCACGTTCTGAGTCGGGACAGGGAGCCGCCACCGGAAGGGCTCGCCTGGCGGGGTGGCGGGGGGTGGGTCCCTAAACACTGACCTCACCTGACACGGTGCTGAGGCGTGCTGGGTGATTCTCTCCTCTCCCCAGCTCTGCATGCGCTAGGCTGTTCCTGCGTGGGTCTATGTGTGATGTCCTACAAGCCAGCCCACCTTGGAATTGAGACGACATTTCACAAAGGCTAAGTCTGACCCTGGTCACATATAACACAGCCTGGGAGGCAATGCTGTATCCGTGTGGGACAAGCAAACCTAAACTTACATTTTAATATACCTCGATGGTGTCTGCTAAAAAGGGTCTGAGGCTGCAAAATCGACCTCTAAGAACTGGCAGGTTGAATTTGTGGGCGAGTGAAAATGGAACTCCTTTTGTTCTCCGAAGTAGGAACGAAGAGTGTTGGGAACGGAACCGAGGAATCTCTTAGAGCAGAAACGGCCTTGAGACTAGCTGGTGCCTCCGTTCACCGAAGAGGAAGCCGAGGGCCAGAGAGGGTGTGAACTGGCCCACAGACACACAGCCTTGCATTAGGGGGCCCGGGTCCCGGGGCAGCGATGTGCGTGAGCAGGGAGAGCAGTCCCACTTGCCCTCAGGTGGTCTTCCTGGGCCGGAGCCCCCTCCTGCCTGGGGGCACACTGCCTCTGACAGCGGGCAGGCGTGCGGGGCCCCGTGAGGCAGTCAGAGGCTGCTCACCCTGCTCACGCTGCTGTTCCGGCCTCAGAGAGAGTGGCTCCCGCGATCACGTCCCCGGGAAGAGGGGGCCTCGGCCTGCGAGGCCTGCACAAGGCCGACACTGAGAAGGTGGTTTGGCTGAGACGCCGCAAGAACCGGCCTCCGGAGGGGCACTCGCCCACGGCCTGCCTGGTGAGCTGCAGACACCTCGGCCGCACCGAGGGCCCGCCGGGCTCCTGCTCGGGCCGTGGGTCCTAATGAGGTCTCGGCAGGTCCCATCTTGTGCGGTCAGCTCGCCTTTCGTGGCTGCACCTGGGCCCCCTCAACACCCACACCTGATGCCCCCCAGCTGGTGTTCCCAGGTTCAGTGGAGGTAGTTGATGTGATCAAGGACGAAGGAAAGGGTTGTAAAAATGCAACAGGGTGGGTCTTCTAGAATTTTTTTTTTTTTTAGCAAAATTAAGGTGCTCAGAAAGTTAAGAAGAAAGAAACAATATATTTTGCTTAAAATAAGAAGCAAAGAGAAAATAAAATACTTGAAAAGACTTGGCCAATTTCGCCTAACTTTTCGTTTGACTTTTCAAAATTTCCGCACGGCGTCGTGGGCCGCACAGTTCCAAAGTCTCCTCTCAGCCTGGAACCCGCGTGGGCACCCTTCCCAAGTTCATCCATGAGGCCAGCTCACCCCGAACAACGCTCTTCAACAAGTACTAGAAAGATACAGTTTCTTAAATAGGAACGCAATTCATCAACTTTTGGCTTGGAAAACGACTTCTCGTTGCAAAAAGAGACAAACTGTAGAAAGACAGAAACTACGAAAAAAAAAAACCAAGTTGTAAAACGGGGCCACTTCCCTCTCTGCCATTCTCCCCCAGGACGCGACTGCGCGGTGCCCAGCGGAGGGGCCTCCTGCCACCGGCAGGGTTGCAGGCGTCAGCTCTGCCCCAGCTCTGGGAGTCTGAGATTCTGCGTGTGGAGATCATCCTTTCTACATCGTCTTCCTAGTGTAAGCTGGAAAGGGTGATGGAGAGAAGGCCCGGCCCCACTGGGCAGAGCCGTCGGACGCTTGGCACCCACGGACCAACCAGACGCGGTGGCCGGGGGTTGGGTCACAGTCGTCCCTGCGTCCTCGGGCACAGGCCGGCCGCCGCCGCGGTCCCACGGGTTGCCCCGGCGGCCGTGTCCATGTTTCCTCTCTTCCGGCGGCGTCCCGGCGCTCTACCTCTCGGCCCGGATCTTGTACCTGAGGACGAAGTAGGCTACGAGGCGCAGCGAGATGAAGAAGATGCCCAGCACGATGAAGTCCAGGTAGAGCTTGGCGTTCTCCACGTCCAGCTCCCGCAGGATGGCCTCCGACTTCTGGAAGTGGCAGGTCTCGTCGATGTCGCAGTGCAGGTCCTCGCGGTCCAGGCCGTAGATGGACAGGATGACCCCTTCAAAGCCGTACCTGCCGAGGAGAGAGGCCGGCGTGAGGCGGGCGCCGCCCCGAGACCCAACTCTGCCTCCCCCCACCCCCGACTCTGCCTCCGTCTGCTTGCTGCGGGCAGCAGCACGCCGTCCCCGTCTCCGTGGCTCCCAGATCCGTCCTCACTGAGACACGTCCTCTGCCCCCAGCCCTCCCTGGAGAAGCCCCGGGGACAGCGTCACTGTGTCCTCCAGTTCTGTCCCCTGCAAACGGAACGGACCGACGGACCGTAGGTGTGTGCTCCGCAGCCGAAGGGCCTGAACACCCCTTGCATTACTTCTGAGGGCGCACGCTTCTCAGCGGTTCGCTAGGACAGTCTGACGCCCTCTGAGCACCACGCATGCTCTAACAAAACACGGCCGCCCCGTCTCTCGCTCCTGCCAGCCCTGCACCGCCGGAACAAACACGCTAAAACGCTCGTTTTGGGGAGAAAGGCGAGGTGTCGGGTTTCCTGAAACTCTGTACAGACGCTTTGTTCCCCGTTTGTCTTCCAGAACAATCTGCTGGGGCCTGAACTGGCACAGAAAAGAAAAGCCTGTCCCAGCCCGGGAGCCGTGTGTGTCCCGTGGAAATGCCGCGGCTGGCCAGAAACGCCCTGGGGATGAGCGTGGCCGCCGAGGACCCGCACGCCACTCCCGGCGGCCCCTGAGCGCGGAGCACGTGGCCCGGCGGCCACGGCAAGGATGCTCGTGTCCAGGGGCGCTGGGACGCTTAGGTCAGGGCCTGTCTCCCACGGGCTCGCTCATGCGGGTTCACGATGCTCAGACACGTGGATGAGCACCACTTATTCCGGAGAGGAATGATGCCCCGTAAAGGTGGAAACACTCCCCCAGACACACAGGAGCAGAAATGCGGGCCGACCCGGCCTTCTCGGGGGATGAGGGAGAAGCCTGGGTCCTGCTCCCCTGGCTGTGTGTGCGGCCGAGGGGGGAGCACACGAAACCGGGACAAAAGTAAAAGGTGCAGCTCTTGGATCCGTGACCTCGGCATTGTGCCGCCGGCGTGTCGTGGACGGCCAGGGCGTGGCTTTGGCAAGCGTCTGCACAGGCACAGGAGCCCCCTTCCCTCTGGCACCGCAAAGCTCCCAAGTTGCAGAGGGCACCCTCGCCACGCTACCTGACGTAGGAGATGTAGGACATCCACTGCAGGTAGGTGGGGATGGTGTCGAAGCTGACGAAAAACCCGGAGAAGAGGAGGACGGGGATGGCCGTCACGGGGCCCACAAAGGTGGCCACCTGGGGGACACAAGGAGAGAGAGCTCATGATCCCGCCTGCCTGGCTCCCTCCGCAGGCGGCTCCCGGACGCCCTGCTCCAGGACGGTCCCCTGGACAGTCCCCTGGGCTGCTGGGGAAGGACTGGTTTCCAGGACGGGTTGTCCGTGGGCCGAGATGGCGCGGAGAAGCCTCTGGCTTGGGGAGCGAGCAGCCTGCTCTCGGGTGCTCTCGATCCCCCGAGTTCTGGCTCTGCTTCTGAGGAAAGGCCTGGCCCGAGCTCCCCGAGGCCACAGAGGCGCAGACACAGCAAACGCACGTGGGTTTGGCAGGTTGTGGGTGGGTGGGTGGCACAGGAGTCTAGAAGGGGGCATGTGGAGGGACTCAGATGGGGTGGGAATGTGGGGGTGCAAGTGGGGGTTGAAGGGATGCGCAACTGGATCCCCCAAAGCAACGAAACCTGGGCATCGAGAGTTTGGCCTCTGAGCTAGCTGCGGGACCCTGACCCAGTCACATGCCTCTCTGGGCCTCTCTGTCCCCACCTGTCAGCAGGGGGCAGCGCAGCACCGAATTCAGGGTGTGCTCGGGACTGCGTGAACTCTTGGGTGGGGAGCTCTGAGACCAGCACCTGGCATACATGGGGCGCCACATAAGGGCACCCGCAGCTGTCGCTATGCCAGTCCTGACCAGCAGGGACAACGGGAGTCCTGACCCCGAGACTGACCCAGGGAAGCCAATCTCAGGAGAGTGAGGAGGGCAGAGCCAGGAGGAGGGGCTGGCGCTGAGCCTCTCCAGGGTGGTGGGCAGGCGTCTCCTCGGCGGGTAGTCACCTGCAGGGACGTGGACGCGGCTCCGATCAGGAGGCCCAGGGACTGCGCCACCAGCGAGGTCATGGTGCCCAGGGCGGCAAACAGGACGAACCGCACGGCGTCGGACGGCTGTGACGTCATCCAGTACACGATGCTGCAGTAGGCCACCGGGAACATGATCTGGGGACACAGGGGCCGTCACCCTCTGGCGGAAGCGGGGCCTCCCACCCCGGTTGACGGGGGCACGGCGAAGAACCCGTGCCCCTCTCCCAGCACATGCCCTTTGCGCGTGTACCTGGAAGGGGACGTCGGCCATGGTCTTGGCCAGGTAGTAGGCCTTCAGGCTGTACCAGTAGTTCAGGTGTTCCCGGAGAAACACTCCCATCTCCAGGGGAACTAGGAGGCAGGGGAATGGGAAAAGGGTCAAGCAGACGTACCCGTTGGGCCAGAAACTGACACAGGTGAGCTGGCCGGGCCTTTCAACCCTGCGGTCCTCGGGGTTTGGGTGGGAAAGGTAAGGACGGAGTCACTAGCCTGGGAAAACTGCCGACCACTTTTATAACCTGGGAGTCACCAAGGGGGGACATCTATATGAATGTTGAATATTAGTGATTCATGTAAGCATTTCTTACTCAACCGATTCTCATTGAGTAACTGACAGTGTGGTTCCTTCCTGTGGCCAAGAGCTCACAAACTGGTCTTGGAAACTGCGGGCGATTTGGGGAGGAGGCACCATGGGGAGGAAGTGTTTATGCTGTAATTTGGCTGAAACAGAGGGTTTCTACACCGTCAGCCCACAGGGACCGAGGGCAGCTTATTCTGCAAACCATCTAGGCTTACATGGAAATCCATCTGTACTGCCTTCGCCACTCACCAGCCTGGCTGCCCCAGGCCCGTCCTAGTAACCAAATGGGGTTAGAACACCTCTTAGAAATCTCTCTTGCACATTAGCCTTCCACCGTGCATACAAGTTTTCCATTAGTGATTCATTCCTTTGGCTTAAATTATGGCGTGTATTTCCTTGTCTAACAAAAAAACACCAGTGTACACCTGTCTACAAAGAACACGGTATTTTAAAAAACAAGACACGGTGTGTTCAGAAGACTCATCTCTCGGCTGAGCGGCCATGGCCTCGGCCCCCGACTCCTGGGCTGGAATGACGGATTATGGGGAGAGGGGGCGGCGGCCAGGCGGACACTCACACGTGAGCACGGTGGGCATGAGGGCTGCGAACATGAGGAAGAGCATGGAGAAGAAGAGGAAGCCGGAGTTGCTCAGGACCTTCTTGGCTTCGTTCCCGATGCCCAGGTAGAGCAGGCCGATGAGGAGGCCGATGCCGATGTGCGAGGTGATCCGCAGGTGTGTCAAGACCTGGGGGCGGGCACGGCTGTTAACTCGTGCGCCTGGAAGTTGGGGGGCCGGGCAGTGACGGGGCAACGGGGCCAAGGCCTCCGGGTGCACCGACCGTCACAGACGTCGTGCTCCATCCTGCCCCTTCTCCTCCCGCAGGGCAAGCCCCCCACCCTCAGCCAGCTCTCTCTCACACACACACACACACAGCAGAGCAAGCCCCCCACCGTCAGCCAGCTCACACACACACACACACACACACACAGCCAAGCAAGCCCCCCACCCTCAGCCAGCTCACACACACACACACACACACACAGCCAAGCAAGCCCCCCACCCTCAGCCAGCTCTCTCTCACACACACACACACACACACACACACACAGCAGAGCAAGCCCCCCACCCTAAGCCAGCTCTCTCACACACACACACACACACACACACACACACACAGCAGAGCAAGCCCCCCACCCTCAGCCAGCTCTCACACACTTGCACAGGGAGCAGTTTATCGTGGTTAAAGCAGAACCGTTCTAAAGGAGAGGACACGTGGTGACGAGGGTGGAGAAAGGAACGGCAGGTGGGTACCTCGGGGCCCACCCTTGCAGAACTCCATTTTCCACACTCGGTCCCAGAGGCCCGCTGAGCACTCAGCCCCCCGTGGGCAGGTGGTCAGACTGTCCACGTTGAAGGCGGCCATCACCATGGCTCTCCACTGCCGCCCCCTCCTCCCTGACCAGCCTCCCTACAGCCCCGGAGCCCCGTGCCTGGCAGTGCTCCCCTGAGGGAGGAAGGTGCTCCCTCTCGTCACCCTCGGCCCGATGGCCTGCTTTGGCCAGAGGAAGGTGAGCTCAAGCGACAGGCTGCCGCCGGAAGTGTTACATTTGGTTTCTCCCTTGCACGTCCCCTGCCCCACATTCTAGAAAGAAGGAGCTGGGCCTCCCTTCGGAGGCCCAGGATGAGGGCAGGGTCGCAACGCTCAGCCACAAATATTTACTGTCATAGCCACTGGCATTTGGGGGCGTTTGTCACAGCAGCGTCGCAGAGTGAACGCTGACCGATGCGAATGGAGGGACAGCGGTCTGAGAGGTCCCTCGGGACAGGTTCCCCTGAATGTGACGGGCGGCTGCAGACGCGCTTACCGAGTCCCTCATGATGCTCAGGAACGTCCTTTTGAAGAGGATGCAGAACTGCGTGAGGCAGCTGGCGGAGAAGCTGTGACAGCCCTCCGTGGACGTGGAGTCCTGAGAACACACGGAGAAGGGAGAGGCAGTGAGACCCCCCCACCCCGGGATGCCCCTCCTCGCGGCGCAGAAACAGTGCCACGCGCCGCGGGGGGCACAGCGCAGGGAGCGCTCTCCCCGGGCCGGGGGCGGGATTACCTTTCTCGGCCCCTTCAATCGTTTTGCCTGCTTTACCTCTTCAGAGGGCCGGTGCCAAAGGAAAGGGTTCACCTCGGCATCCCCCCCGGGCTCTTTCCGGTAGTCCGAGTCGCACACGCCCTCGCGGACGGCTCTCACCAGGCGCCCGTTCTGATCGCCGTACTCGCCGGACGCCACCTCCATGACTGCAGGGGACACAGGCGCACGGGGGGGTCAGCCAGGCCCCCAGGACAGCACCCGAGACCACTAACGCGAACCCTGGGCCTCGTTCACTTTTGCAACGACAGAGCCACGATTTGGGCAGAACATTTTTCGCTGGCTGTACATGAGCCTCGTGAGGATGACGACGGGATAAAATCATTTAGCAAGCAATGTTCTTTCGGCTCTAAACGCCCCCAGCTGGGCAAATTCTCATGTCAGGAGCCTGGAGATGAAAATAATGAGTGCGTTCTCCATTAGCACAGGCACCCATCCAGTGTCTACCGAGCGCCTGCAGCGGGCGCCCAAGCCTCGGGGCGGAAGCTGGAAGTCAGCCGCATTTTGCACGTAGGGCCGGGTGTGAGGGACGAGACAGACCAGTGGCAGTTCAGTGGGGCCACGGAAAAGGGGGTGCTCGGGGCCCTGAGCTGTGCTTGGCACCCCGGGGGCATTGAAACGTGTTATCGTTCCCAGATATTTTATCTGGAGCAAAACCAACCTCTTTCTCTCTCACAGGACGGCACTTGGGCCACTGAGAAATAGTAACTCCTGACTGGGGCCTCGGGTGAAAGAGGAAACCCACCAACAGCGGCGAACAAACAAACACCCTTCCTTTTCCCTCCTGGTCAGGGCTCTACTTACTAAAGTCAGCCGGGTTGTGGTAGGTGGGGCAGTTCAGGCCCAAATCCCTCAGGTATGGTACAAGATTGGAGACTTTCCCCCGGTACACACATTGTCCTTGACTGAGGACATACAGCTGGAAGAAGCAGGGAGAGGTGAAGGTCAGCCGTGCCTGCCTCCACAGAGCAGCTGGCGCTTTCAGCCTGGCCACCCATCTACCCACCCACCACCCACCCACCCATCCATCCACCCACCCACCCACCACCTACTCAACCACACTTCCACCCACCCACCCACCCATCCATCCACCCACCCACCCACCACCTACTCAACCACACTTCCACTCCTCCATCCATCCACCATCCATCCGTCAATCTATTCATCCACCCATCCATCCACCCACCTATCCACCATACATCTATCCATCTTCCCACCCACCTACCCACCTATAGATCCACCCATCCTTTTACTCCGCTATCCATCCATTCACTCTTATCTTCCTTCCTCGCTTGCTCCCTCCCTCCCTCCCCAAGACTGTTAAAGTTCACAGGGAAATCCATGATAAGTCAGAGAAAACTGACAATATCATGAAGCCCTGAATTATTTTGTTATATTTATTTTATTTACACTAACTAACCACCTACTCAGGAAAGATTTTGGAGCCATACATGCTTTGACCCTTGGGACTTATTTTTTTGCTCATAATATCAAAACCTAAGAGTTATACAACATGATATTATACAAATAAAGTAACCTGTCACTCGATTCCATGAAACAGGGGTTCCCCATGGTAACAGGGAAGCTAACGAAGCCACAACAGTAGCAGCGACTCGCCCAAGGCCCTGCAGCCACACGCCAGCCCCAGAGGGAGGACACTGGCCCGCTCTTCCCAGCTCCTTCCCCAGCTGCTGTGGCTCCAGCACCGTAAGAAACATAACATCGGAGGCCACTCAACCATGACGACAATGCTATGACTAAGGGGAACGCCCCGAGTGCCCGGAATCCGAGTCCGCCAGGGCCGGTCACGGCAGGGCAGGGCCTGCGTACCTGGTCGAACAGCTCGAAGAGCTTGGCGCTGGGCTGGTGGATGGTGCAGATGATGGACCGCCCTCCTTGAGCCAGCCCCTTCATCAGGGACACCACCTGGAAGCAGGAGGCGCTGTCCAGGCCACTGCAAGACAAGGGGCACCATGAGACGCTTGTGGGGCCCCCAAACCACACCCACATTCACAGGGCACTGCGTGGTCCGTGCGCAGGCCTGAGCCATGGCGTCTCCTCATCTCAGCCTCTGAGACTCAGCAGGTGAGTCCAGCCTCTGCTCTGTGACCCCGAATTTGGGTCCCTCTATAGGGAGGGAAAGACGGGACATCTAGGGCTCATGCCTCCCTCATCTGAAGCTACAGTAGGGGCCCCCGAAAATCTGCAGGCAGAGAGGTCAGGGGCTCCTCCCTCCACTGCCTCTGAATACTACCTGGTTGGCTCATCGAAGAACATGACGGGAGGGTTGTTCACCAGCTCCAGCGCGATGGCCAGGCGCTTGCGCTGCCCGCCCGAGAGGCTTCCGGTCCGCGTGTTGGCACAAGACAGCAAGCCCAGAGCCGTCAGGATCTCCTTGACCTGGGGTGGGGGCGGCAGAGTCACCGTGGCCCTCAGGGACCTCCCACCGCATGTCACTGCCTCTGGCGTCCCCATGGAAACCTGCTGCCTCCCCCGCTTCACTCCCGGACACACACACAGACCGACACCAATGACCCCAGTCCCACCCGCCAGGCTGCCGGTTTCCAAGTCCCAGGTCCTGATTCGGGTCCCACAGGCTGAGAAGCCGTGGGGACGCTAGGCCCCCCGCCTGGGCGGAGTCCTTGCCCTGCTGCTGTGACCTTCACTTGCAAGCCCCGCCCAGGGCCCAGGTCTGTGGAATGGGTGGACTGGTGGACACACAGATGGACAGGTGATGGGGTTTCTGACCAGCACAGAGGAAGGGCCACCAGGACAGTGACGTGAGATAATGCATGAAAGGGCGTGGCCACGTGAGTGTTTCATCGACGGCAGCTGTTACCAGGAGGCCGCTCCCGCAGACACACGCAGGCAGGCCAGGCCTCTCGGAAGGCAGAGGGGAGCCCCCTTGCGCACTGGCCAACAGCAGAGCAAGGTCTCTGAAGGGGTGGCTCGACGAGGGCCCTGCTTGGGGCAGCCAGTCCCTCCCTCTGCGGCCCCGAGGCCCTCCGGGACGCAGGCTGGCCCCTGGGACACAGACATCCACTGTGCGCGCGGAGCCCTCCCCGTGGGATGGGATCACTGGCCCAGCGCTGGCTCAGGAACGGAAGGGTCAGCAGTCTTCAGGGCTGGCGGGGGGTCAGCCGCAGTGCTCGGGTGCCGCGTCTTCTCGGGGGGCGGCTGCCGGCCTCCCTGCCTCCGCACGGCCTCACCTCCCAGGGCACCCCCCAGAATTCTCCCGGCCATCGTCCCACACCCTGGTGGCTCCTGGGTCCGTCTGGGTGAAGCCAGTCCAGCAGCTTCTCTGGGGAGATGAGGTCATCCAAAAGGAGAAAGAGCTCACAAGGAAGAAAATTTCCGTTCCGGCGCTTGGATTACTTAAGCACAGTCAGTACAAAACTTGGTTTTGGTGTCAGAGAGACCCAGGACACTGCACTGCTGCTCCATGGGCTAGGAGGCAGCTGGTCAGATGGACCTGGGTTCGAATCCTGCTCGTCCTCTCTTATTGATCCCGAGCCCCACTCCACACTGCCTCTTCTGGAAGGGCATGCCTTTGAGGGACACCAACCCAGAAAAGAGGTCAGCGAGGTCACTCAGAAAAGGCCACCGAGGTGGGGCGGGGGGACACTCCTCCTGGCCCACTTCCCCTCCTGTGCAGACAGAAGCACAGTTACTGGATGAAGTCTCGTGCTGGCCGGCCTCCGCTCGCATGAGGGTCATCGCAACGGGGCGCACCACGTGCCCTCTGCCTGTCCACAGTTTCCTCCGAGGGGTCTCCCCTTGCCGCTGGCATCTTCCCGGGGTGACACTCTGCAGGCCAGTCTGATTTCAAAACTAGCCAGAGAGCACTGCGTGGCCCTGGGGACTTTGCTCCTGAGGAAACCCCCTCCCTGGGGGGCTCTCGGGGGCCGAGGCTGCTTTTCTGGGAAACGAGGAAAGTTGGACAACACATTCCACTCCGGCCAGAACATTCCAGTCTATTGTGTTTCCAGACAGGGACTCGGAGGGAAATGAGTCAGGGCATGCGATGGGCTTCTTATCCTTAAAATAATCACGCGATCCTGCTGATGGGTTCCTGTCGGAGATGGGATCTGACCCCGCAGGGCGGAGGCAAGGAGGATGGGCTGGTGAGAAGCGCGGGCAGGACCCGAGACCGCCCGTCGGCCCCGCAGGGGTGGCCCACGACTGCCTTGTTCCACCGACATCACGAACCTGGAGTGAGGGGTGAGGCTCTCGCTCCCTGGGGGCGATGCAGCCACACAGTCCAGCAGAGAGCAGCACGGGGCTGCCTTCCGGTCTGTGGCCCAGGACACGGAGGACACCCACCGGGCGGGCCCTCCTGAGCGGCACCTCCTTTCGCTACCGAGAAAGCTGTCTCTCGCCCGCCCCTCGTGCTCGGGCAGGCAGCGTGGGTGCCGGAGGCCTTCCCCCGGCCTCGGGGCTCCGGGATCCCATCCGTGAGGAGGGAACGGAAGGCCAGGCACCACCTGCCTTCGGGGCAGTGGAGGCTGACTCAGATGACCCCGGCCAGCTGCCTGGACAGGGCTGGATGCTGCCCGTGAAGGTCCCGCCAGGGCAGACCAGCCGCTGCAGGAGGCTGCGCCCCTCAATACAGAACGTCGGCTGGGCGGCACGCGCTGGTCCTCCGGGCCCCGTGGCAAAGGCCGCCTTCCCCGGCGCACCTGTCCCACACGGGGGGCGGGTCCACGCGGGTCATGCATCGTGGAGTCCTCCGTGGCCTACTTACTAATGGGTCACGCCTGCTCCGGGCAGCTCAGGCACATTAACAGCATCATCTAACTCAGGATCGCGCTGCCCCGCAGGCAGAGGGCGCCTGGCCTCCCACTCCCTCTGTAGAGACGGGAGCCCAGAGCCGCCGGAGCTGGGGCCCGCGGTTCCCCAGTGGGTCCCAGGAGGCCAGGGCTGAGGGGGACACCCCTCTGCTGTGCTGCGTCACAACTGCGCTGTTTGCACCGCATCAAGTGTCCTTCTTCCCCCCGCACCCGAGACGGGGGGCTCCTGCTGGTGCTGCGTCGACGCCAACGACCTTCATTGACCGGAGACACAAACACGCGTGACTCCCGTGTTTTCTCCATCTCTGCTCCAGGCCTGTTGAATCCACGTATCCCCTTCGATCTCAGAATAGAAGAGTTCCGCGTGATGCGTCTTCGGCAGGACAAGTCTCGCCGGCCGCAGAGACGGGGCCTTCCCACACACACTGTGCAGCTACCCCTCCCCTCCCCTGGTTCAAGGCTGAACCCTCAGAGTCCTGGAGGGCGCGGCGGGGCGGAGAGAGGAGGACAGGGAGGGTGAGGCGGAACCCTGAAGGTGCCGGCCTTTCTTTTCACTCCAAGGTGGCTCCCACGGAGGTGGCAGGAACGATCACACGGGGCAGGAGACGTGACGGACGCAAACAGAATGGTTGTTGGTCTTCCCTCCGCGTGTGGCAGTGCCCTGTCGTCACCCCCGCTCCGTCAGCAGATGGAGAGCCAGGCTGCCCCACTGGGGCTCGCCTCCCCCACCAGCCCTACCCTTCCCGCTGCTGGGCTGCGGCCCCACGAGGGCCTCAGAAGGAGATACTAGTTTGTAAGTGGAATTTCACCAAATTCTGCTCTAATACCAAAAACCCCGCTGGCACCCATGGTGGGAGCGGAGAGGAGGGGGGCTGAGTCCCCCATCAGCATGTGTAAATACTCACTGGTCCCCCACACGGGGCTTTCTGGGGCTCCCCCCGGGTCCGCTGGCCTACCGCCCTCCCCGCTCCCCGGAGTTCTGGGAAACGAGGAGGGCCACGAACGGGGTTAGAAGAAGGTCTTACTCAGCCTGGAAACATGCTCATTTTATTTTTAAAAGGCTGGTTAATAACACGTGAGCATCAAATTTCTTCTTGCCAGTGTGTGTGGGTGGAGGCTGGTTATTTTTAACTGAATGATGAGGCACCCTCACGGTTAGTATTTTATAAAAAACAACTGCGTATGAAGCATGTTAAACCCCGAAAGGGACGGCACTTGGGCGGACCCTGAGGCTCTCAGGCTGGTGTCCTGCCGCGTCCCGGCCGCTTGTGTGGCAGTCCCAGGACGTGAGAGTCAAGGCCGGGGCTCTTGCGGTGGAGGGGCCGCTCCTGGCTGCCAGGCTAGAGCACCGCACACCGTGATGTCCCCATCCCCCCCCACGGGAGGCGAGGCGCCAAACCAACCAAACCAGGGCGGAAGAGGTCCCTGCCCAGGTGTTGGGCCAATGGCGCTCGTGCACCTGCGGCCCCAGCGCACACACTCACCATCTCCCTTCTGCCCTCGTCTTTCTCCTGCAGCTTCAGATGTGCGGACACCTGCAGGGAGGAGGGGCACCGTGTCAGGACAGAGTCAGGACAAGTGGCCCTCGGCTGGCAAACCTCGCAACACACACCACAGGCCAAGAGCCCCAGGGGCTGGAGGAAAACCCGCGGAAGGGGTCTTGGCCTCCCACCTCCCTTGGCTCAGCGGAGGTGGGGTCCCCGAGAGCTGTGCATGTCTGGGGTGCTTCCTGTCCTCTCCGTCGAATCGCTGCTGTGCCCCTGAGGGAAGTTACATGCGGGCAGCAGAGAGATGAGGAGACCGTGGTCTCCAGGGGCTGAGGACCAGTGGTGTGCACGGAGGAACTTCACAAGCCGCCTGTTAAACCGCTGGTAGCTCAAAACTCTCCATTGCTCATCACAGCCTGTTGGAGAGCATTGACACCACAGAAATTGGCAAGACCCACTGATCAGGACTCCGGTTGGGCTGTTTTGTTTGAGACCCTGTTTGCCAGCACAACCCTGGGCCCTTGACCCTGCTGGGTTGCCAGCATCACATCCAGTGTCAGCCTTGGCTCTGCTCTGCCGACCTCTGTGGCTATGGGGACCAAGGAGCCTCGGTTTCCTCCCGGCCACCACGGCGAGGTCAGAACCCGCCCACCACAGAGCTGGCGACGTTGCCATGGGGATCAGTGACAGGCTGAGGTGCAGGGGAAGCGGCCACAGTCCCGGAGTTGGACAGGGCCAGGCCAAGGTCAGCTCAGCCGGACCCCGGCTGGTTGCCCGGTGACACCGAGGGGCACTTCTGGGTCGGCCCGGTGGTCGTGAGGGTCAGAAGCAGCTCATGAGCATGCACAGCCCACAGCTGGCAGCCAGTACCATCCCGACATGTATGACAAAACCTCACGGTAAAATCTCACTTAGTTTAATCCTGAAAATAAACGGGTTTCACGGCAGAGCCCGGTGAGAGGCTGGGGGAGGAGGGAGATGGCAACACGAGGCACCAGTCCTGTGTGCGAGAGGAGGCAGCAGGGAGTGGACGGGGCATGTCTCCTGAACTTACTTTTGTGTCTGCAGGCCCCCCCTGAACTCCCTGCGCCCTCATCAGAATGTTGGCTTGGAGGCCAGATAAACAGTCGGGGCTACCCGTGCCTCTCGGGAGGCCAGCCCGGGGGCGAGGTGTCCCCTGACCTCCAGAGCACCGAGCACCAGGGACGATGCCAGGAGCAAGCCCACGGGGCCCTCCTTTCCGTGTGTGCACAAAGCAGGTTAGGGCGCAGGTCACATATCTGATGCCTTAGCCTGCTTCCCTTCGCTGAGATCCCCTGGGAACAACTGCCCTCGGGATGCAAGGCCAGCGGCCGCCGCCCTGGGATGCCGGAGAGGAGGAAGCTCCGCTCAGTCCCAATGACAAGCGCAGGGTGCGACCTGTGCAGGCTGGGAGCCAAGGCGAAGCCCACCCACTGACCCAGGGCGCAAGGCAGACAGGCAGAGGACACGGCGTCACGGCCCAGAGCGGCCTGGAGCCCCGTCTCGTACGGTGGGCGAGGGCAAAGCAGGGAGCCGAGCAGCCTCTCCACAAAACACACCATGGTGAGCGAAGGGCGGCCGAGCAACCTTCCCATCTCTTCTCCGTGGGAGACACTGTAGTGGCTCCTGCTACCCAGAGCTGGGTCCGTGTGGTCCCTATTGGCGTGGGCTGGGCCTCTTTAAAGAGCGGCCCCAGGGCAGGGCACTTGGCTGGGTTGGGGTCTGTTCAAAGAGCACGGTGGCCCGGCCGGCCGTCCTGGACCCCAGAGTACAGGACGCCCTGGGCTAGCAGCTGAGCCTGGAGGCTGCCCTTGCCCTGTGCTTTTGCAAGACTGCGTGTCTGGTGGCTGTCGGCTGTGTACGTGCGTGTAGGGCCTGGCAGCAAATGCTGGCTCCACTCCCCCACCTGGCAGGCAGGCGAGTCAGCAGAGGATGAGGCCTTCGGGCCCTGACTTGGCACCAGGCTGACTGGAACTCAGGTCCAAAGCCACAAATGACTGCAGGGCAGCGGATAGGAAGGGCAGACCCTCGGGCCCGAGGGGGTAGGACTGTGGTCGCCTCGGAAGGAATCACCCACATCAATCGGGTCAGTAACTTCCTCAGGAATCTGACCTGGACTTTGCCATCCAGGGTCTATGACAACCCAGGGGTCTAGAGGTGTGTTTTCCTGAAGCTGTCCAAACAGCTCGGCTGGCGTCAGCACGTCACTGGAGGGAGGGGCCTGGCTGAGCCCCTGCCCCACACTGGGCGCTGGAGGGGAGGGAGGTAGCTCACCATCATGGCTTCCTGCACGGTGAGGTGCGGCAGCAGCATGTCGTCCTGCATGATGTAGCAGGACACCTTCCGGAAGCAGCGCAGGTCCCGCGGCATGCCGTTGATGAGGATGGCCCCCTTCATGCCGGTCTCCCTGCAGGAACAGGAGGGGACTCGTCAGCCCAGCCCCTGCTCCTCCGCCCCAGAGGGCCCGGCACAGAGGCAGCCCCTCCCAGCAGCACCCTCCCGGGGCAGGAAGGATGGAGACCCGAGGCAGCCCCCGCACTCACAGGGAGGAACCGCACAGAGCAAATGCCCAGCACAGACAGGGGAGGGCATGTTTGTAACAAGTGCCCATAAACAAGCAGAGATACATGTGCATGCTCCTACACATAGCCACAAGGTCACAGGTACACCCCTGGCTTTTCGGGGGGGTTCTAAGATGGGCTTCTGAGCAGTCCTGTGGGTAGCCCAGGCTACACTGCAGCCGGGCGTGTGGCTGCTACATCAGAACAAGCTCCTGAGGGTCCGGCTCTGACGCTGACAGGGAGGGAACACAGCAGGGTCCCTGGGCTCACATGGCTCAAAAAGGAGGGGGCCAGTGCCCTGGACCCACTCAGCCAAGTGCCTGGCCCTTCTCCACCGGGAATGCTGTTCTCTGTGCCCACAGTGGACGGGTTGGGGCACCCGATGTGTGCTGGGAAACGGGGGGCACAGCCCGGCGAGCCACACGCACTCACCCCCTATCTCCCAGACCCACGCGCATCTCCACCGTCCAAGGCTCTCCTGGGCGCCTCGGCTCAGCCGGAGAGGCGGCGGGGACCCCAGCCATTCTGTCCCACGGCCGCCCACCCCCCCCAGTGCTAAGTGTGCAGCGTCCACTTCCACCCTGTGGTGCAGTGACCAGGAGCTGCCTTTTGATGCTTTCAACGCCACTTGCTTCCCTGGGCTGTTTCCTGCACAGACTCAAAGCCTCCTAAGTCTACCTGCCCCCCCCTCCTGCCCCCACCGCCATCCCCTGACTTCACTGGAGCCTCTGCAGGGGAACCGTAAGAAGAGGCGGGACGGACGGAAGCGGCTTCGCCATCCGTACTGTTGTCACGATGCCACAGCCGGCGAGGACCTGGTTCTCCTCAGGGGGCGGGGGGCGGGGGGGGGCGCTCACCTGTACCCGGCCAGGATGTTCATGAGCGTGGACTTCCCGGCCCCGGAAGGGCCCATGATGGCCACCAGCTCCCCGCTGTTGAATTTCCCGGAAATGCCTTTCAGGAGGGTCTTGTACCCTGCAAAACAGCAGAGGGCGTTCACTTACCGACCGTCGCAGGACCGGCCGGTCTCATGCCCGGTGCCGCACAGACGAGTGCATGGCACGCCGGTGCACCCGGCCACGGGACCGTGCGAGGCGCTCTCACACACACTATCCAGGGTACGAGGGCTCCACCATGCTCCTTTCAGAATGAGGACGCGGGTGTCCGGGGCCCAGGGGACGCGTCCTGGCCCCCACAGCCAGCCCGAGCAGATCCTGCCCCAGGCCCCCACGATGGGTAACCACACGACTAATGTATTATTTCTTTTGTGAATTTTTATTTATAATTTATACAAATATAAATTATTCATGTAGGATTTATTCATAAATCATTGCTCTCTATTAATTAATTTATAATTAGAAGTTTGTCATTCGGGGGCCACACCAAATTGCTTTGCAATTTCTGCCAAGTCTCCACCCCAGCGCTCCGTAAAAACACAATTATCTACGCATCCCGAGCAGCGCCACTCGGGGTTCTGGGGTTTTTCTGAGTACACTGTTCAGATGTGCGATAAAGAATAAAACAGAAGAAATGGGGTTTGTGCACAAAGACGCCTAATTCAGAAAGAGTTCCCGGCTCCTGAGCAACAGCCCCAGAGCGCACCCCTGAATGACCAGGGCCGCGCAAACGCCATGTTTCAGCTGCTGCACGAGGGGGCGGGGCCTGATGGGAAGGGGAGGCGGGCACCCCACCAGAGCCCGCTGGCTCCCCAGGCCGAGGCGGGGTGCCCCCCATTCCCGACCCCAAACCGGTCTGTGCTTTCAAGCCCCAGCCAGGGTCTGGAGCACTCCTGTGTCTCCCAGACAAGACGCCTGAACCCCCAACCTGTCACCAGGTGCCACCTTGGTTGAGATGAGGAGTCCCCAAGGCCTTGTTTAGTCAGGCAGAGAGAAGCGGAAACAAAGGCAGGAAGCCCGCGGCTCTGAGATCTGGCTCATTACGGAGAGTGACAGCCGCTTGGGGAGGGCCGTGAGGGTCGTCCCGGGGGGAGAGGGGCAGAGAACAAAGGGAGGGAGTTGAGCAGAGCAGCACAGAACTGCCCGTGAGCCAGGCGCCTGCCGCCGGCACGTCCATGACGCGAGGTCAGCAAACACCGGCCGGTGAGCATTGACGGGGGCCCACGGGGGTCCCGGAGGACTGCGTCAGCCCTTCGGTGGACAGACAGACAGAAGGGCCTTGGGGCAGCAGAGCCCTCTCCCCTGCAAGGTCAAGCTGCCAGTGCAGCAGCCCCTGAAGCAGGATGGAGCTGTGTTGGCCCTGAGCTCTGGGACCGGGGCCACAGGGGACCCGCCTGACATCACGGAGGGAGTGTTCAATGCCAGGCGTGCCAGACATCGGCTCGTTAGCGGCCTCTCGTGGGTTCAGGCCCAGAGCAGGGTTACTCCCAAGCAAACGCCCTACAGGCTGTTCCTGCTCAAAGTTCAAGGTTGATCCCCAGCGGGTCCCTCGTAAACCTGGAGCTGCCTGACGCGGCAGATGCCTTACGCAGATAGCCACTGGCCACTTGGAGGCCACGTGCAGCCTGCACAGGGGTCGTGACGGCCGGAAAGCAGCCTCGCTGCTGGGACTCCGGGAAGCTGCTCCCTCCGGGCAGAGCCCACAGGCACTGCTCTCGCTCTGACGTCACCTGGCGCCGGCCCTCGGGGCTGGGGTCCACGCTGGGACACAGATAACAATAGTGGCTGCAGGAAGGTCACAGGCTGGGATGCCCGTAGCCGGGAAGCCAGGAACAGCCACGGGTGTGGCAGCCGGGGGAGCATCCGGCCCTTGCCAGGGCAAAGGCCGGCAGAGTGGGGGACAGACCGTGGTCTCCTCCCCTACGGCCACCAGACTGGGACAGAGAGTTTGTCCCTGAGCCCTGGGGCTAAACAGATCGGCTGTCCAGTCAAGTGAGCTATGAGGCCTCCTGAGGCTGATGACTCATGCCCCAGAGGGGACAGCGGTTCCCAGGGTGACACGGAAAGGCGGGGAGCACATGGGTGTGACATCTGCAGGGCCGGGAAGGGCCGCCCTGAATCTCAGTGACCTGAGGCTCCTGAGGCTCCTGAGGCTCTGTAAGGGCGGGAATACAGGAGATGTCCTGTGAGACCTCTCCTCCTAAAGGCCAGCCCGCCGGCCACAGGCTGAGTGCCCGGCACGAGCCAGGACACGTGCTAGTCACCCCACGCACACCTCGTTTTCCTCCTAGCTCTCCTTACTTTTGCCCCTAGAGGCCCCAGGGCGTCCGCTCCACAATGATGTGACCAGAACTGTCTCCCGAATCACCACGTCCCATGGGTAGAACGGGACTAGGCATGCAGTGGTCACTTAAAAAAAGTTTATGGAATTCACACACAGAAGGTGAACTCTTTGCACAAGTGAATTCAGAGTCACGGCCACCGTCTCGGGCGCCACCATTGGGCTGGAGCTTCTTTCTGAGCCATGGCCTCCGACAGGCCCCTTGGGCTTCAGACCAGCGAGTGCTGGGTCAGCAAGAAGGTCCCAGGAGGCCCTGGCAGCTCAGCTCTTCAGGCGGTCCCCGAGGCCAGCCCACAGGGTCGAGAACTACTGTGCAGTGCATTTTGGAGGGGCCCCGGGTATCCCTGCATGGATGTGCAAAAGTCACCCATAAACCCCTTACATAATCTCAAGCAAAATGAGCATTCTATACACTTCAGAGTGACTCCTGTCTGAGGCAAATGTCACTGACGTCGGGCATACAGAGAGAGAAATGCACACATTGTGAGTGCATGCGAAGTTAGACACTCCCCCAAACTGAACTTCCTTGAGAGCCAGCCCCCCAGGTCAGAAATGGGGGGTGAGGGCCCTGGGAAGCCCCTCCCACCACGCCCGTGGGTAATCGCTTTGGAATCTTAAGCATAACCCCAGGGGCGTTGACTTTTAGACAGAGGACTGTATTTTTCCCAAAGGGGAAAAAAGTTATTTTCTTCCCTCAGAAGAAAGTGAAGACAACACTCTTGTGCCTGCGGAACACTCCTTAGATGGGAAACTGCGCCCCAATAATCCCGGGAGCCTGCCGCTTGCCCTATGACCTCGCCCGGGGTGAGCTGACTCTAGTCCTGAACTTGTGCCAGGAAGTCCCGGAGAAATGGGACGACTGACCATCGGCACGTCCCATGTGCGCTAGCAGTGCCTTAAAGGGAAATGGTGCCTATTGATACCCCCAAGGTTCTGGGGACACACAGCAGCTTAGGTTCGGTTGGGTAGGGGTGCAGATTCTCTCATCTGTGGAACTGTGCCCTTGAGGACAGTCCCGCCGGCTCTGGACGGGATCCTGTGGGATACACGGCAGAAACGTGCCAGCTTTGCCCACATTTCCCCCACATGCCTCTCAGCAAGCTGGGGACCAGGTTCTTCTCCATATTTTGCAGATGAGAAACAAGGGCTCAGAGAGGGTTGACGACCTGCCCAAGGCCACCCACCGGCTCAGCAGAGGAGCCAGCATTCCCCCGACCACTGCTGCTCATCTCCAGAGCTGGCCCTTGCACCCCGCCGCCCGCGAGCCTCTGCCAGCCTGGGCAGCCCCTCCCCCACCCAGTCCCCTTCCCATCAACCCCTGTGGCCAGTTCAGCTCAGGAGCATGCATTCAGTCCACTGCTGCGGGAAACGTCTGACAGAGGACTGGGAGAAAGCACACGCCTTTCCTTCCCCCAGAGCGGAATCCCCTCGGTCGCCGAAGGCCGAGGCTGCCGCCTGAGTGCAGGCAGAGCGGCTCCCAGTGTGGGTGCGGCGAGGTGACCCGAAAGCTGAGGCCCGGATGTCCTGTGTGCATCCACAGAGCTCTTAACCCATCCAGTCGTCCCTCGCCCTTCAGCCTCCTCTTCTTTCCCTGAAACATTCTCAAGTCAAAAAAAAAAGGAAAGAAAGAAATTCTTGCCAGCGTGTGCCCAGGCGTCTGCCATCCAGGGCAGACCCAAGCCCCGCGCTGCACAGGTCCCCTCTGTCTGATATCTAAGGCGTCACCTTCCCTTACAGTCGTGAGGAGAAGTACACCCTCCGACCCACACGCTGCTCCCCATGCTCCTTGTTATAGAACCACCGCTGTCCCCCGCCGCCGCTGGCTGCCCAATGACAGGGGCTGGAGCAGACGCGTTTCGGAGCAGCTCGCAGCACACCGGGCCCCCTGGGAACCGCGACGCCCGGTTCTGGGGACCCACAGAAAATAATAAGCAGCCTGTCCCTCTAACTCCAGCAGCGAGCGGCTGGCTCACCCGGGCTTCCCTTAGGGAGCTGCTGTGGGAAGGGGCGGCAGTTTCTAAAGTGACACCGGGGTCAGTCATGGCTTTGGTTCATGGGCTGCAGCCACCAAAGGCTGTGGTCTCCCTGTGGGGGCTGAGCGGGGGCAGCTAGCGTGGGTGCCCCCTGAGAAGCAGGCTCGTGTCGTGCTTGTGCAAACATCGATGCTGGGCTGATCGCTGGGGTGAATGTGCCGAAGAAGTCATTGTCACAAACGAGTCACCAAGTGGAGCGGAGCTCTGCAGGCGGAGGCCACAAAGGGGTCCTGACCCTGGCTTTGCCCTCTCACCTGAGCGCGCACCGAGGAGGCCGGACCACATCAAAAGCCCCTCCTCTGGGCCTCATGGGGAGTCTCATCGCAGACGAGGGGCCCCCAGTGCCACAGAGAGGCCTGGTCTTCAGCAGGGACAGCCAGAGAGCTGTCCACTTCACAGCCCCCCCCCCCACCATGTTCCCCTCTTTCCCTCTCTGCGGTCCCTGCACCCATCAGCCAGGGGCTGGAGGTAGAGTTTCACACCCTGCCTGTCCGTGTCCTCATCGGGACCCCTCCTCTCACAGAGGGGACGTTCAACCGCAGATCAGACAACCCCACAGCCCCAGCCTGCAGAACGTGGCCAGAGGTGCCAGACTCCCCCAAATCCTAGCCCAGTACGAGCCTTTGTCCCTCGTAATGAAAATGGGGGGAAAGTTCAAACATTTTCTACTACGAGAATTACTGAGAAAGGAGCAAACTCACCAAG